TCCGTCGCTCCCGCTCCGAGACGGAAAGGGGAGGACGAGGAAGAAGAAGAAAAAGAAAGAGGAGGGGGCGGGGTGGGAGAACTGGATATAAAGATCGGCTGGGGGGATGGTGGAAGATTTTTGGTCTCCTCGGCAGCGTCTTTTCTTAAGCGGCGGCGGCCGCAGCCGTAAGAGGAGGAGCGGCAGCCCCAGCTATGACTGCCGCATGTTAATAGCTGCCGCTGGGGTCCCCGGGCTGCTGCTGCTGGAGACAGAGCCTGACTCCGAAGTTGTGCAACTGTGGACTGGGAGAGACGTTTGAACCCTCCTTTCTCTTTGCCCCGCTTTTGCCCCCTCGGGGTGTGTGGAGCGCGGACGCGGAAAGGAAGACAAGCGTTTGGCTCTTGTTTTGTTTTTTGTTTTTTTTTCTTTTCCTTCCCCCTTCTCCGTGGCTGTGTAGCAGACGAAAGGGAAGAGAGACTTTCTGTTGTTGTTTCCTTGACTGGGGTCCCCACCCTCCTGCTGCCTTTTCCGCGCTTTGATGAGCATTCTGGGCCCCGTGCGGTGGGGGTGTCTTCGCGGGGGCCGGCCCGTCTTTGGCCCCGGGCTCCATGGCTGGATTGTGGAAACTGCACCCGCCTGCAGGTTGTTGAGCAACTGATGGGACGATCCCAGGGCCCGGTGGCCGCGAAAGGTAATTTATCCTCCGCACTCTTCGTGGATAGTGGCCGCCCTGGCCGGGCGCAGGCGGCGGCACCCCCCGGGCGGGCCACCGGGGGGGTGCGGGGTTCACGCGCACTCACCCTTCCACTCTCACACTCGCCCTCACGCGCACACACACTCATCCGATCGTGATGCGGGGCGGGCGGGGAGCCTCCCGGCCGGTGGGTGCTCGGGCTTTGGCACGGGTTCGAGGTTTTTCCAGCCATTGGGCGATTTGGCGGCCGAGGGGTTTGTAGGGGAGCGGAGAGCCGGCGCCTTGGCAGCGCCGCACACGCTGGGGATTAGGGACGGTTTCCACCCCGTGGATTTTCCCTCCCCTTTCACCCCGGTGCCATCCCCCTAGTAGGGACAGTAAGCGGGCGAGGGGGCACCTTTTCTCCGCCGGGCTGGCAGGAGCGGGCTGGGGACGGACGGGGACCGGGTGAGGAGCGGGGCTGCGGGCGCAGGAGAATGCGGGATGGCCAGTCTGGCGCGGTCCTCACTCGACGCCTGTGTGGAGCATCCGAGGTGGCCGAGATTGCCCGGGTCGCGCCCCTGAGTGGTGGAGTCGCGCTGTCTCCCGGCACACTGCCTGCTGTGTCCCCTTCACGGCAGTTGGGTTCAGACCTGCGCGCCCAGGCTTTGTTAGGCTGTTTTGGCTGGAGGAAAGCTGCCACTTTCGTGGGTGGCCCGGGCTGTGCTGTGCTGGTAGTGGGC